CATTGAAATCACATCTACAATCTTATTTCTGGAGCCACATTAGGATATCTTTCCTAGAAAAGAAAAAAAGAAAAAAAAAAGCAGCTTTACAAGTCAGGAGCTTTCCTCCGCCACTCAACTTCTGTGGATGAAAGCCCGTGCCTCTCCCGTCAGCCTACTGTCACGAGCCAGCCTTGCTGACTTAGTGGACAGGCTCTGACCAAATACAGCTTTATCTAGAGTAGCTTTCCTTTTAAGATTTGGATTCAGCATTTACATAGTTCAGGTGATGAATTGAAGACATACTATTCTTAGAAGAACTGGTTTTAGCCAGCAAATAACTCAGCCGGAGTGAGACATTCTCTGGGAGTCAGGCAAAAGAAACCCCTTTTATGTATGGTGCTCATATGGATGATCTACAGACCTCAGGACCATAGGAATCCAGCTAAGCACGCAAGAGGGCAGAAAGTCTGCCTTGTCTCTCACAGCAAGTGGTTTGCAGGATTCATCTTCTGAGAGAAAACATGTTCTTGTCTGAGACCCTGGAAGATGAGGATTACTATCTTAAATTCAACAGGTTTTGTTCCACTTTGGGGAAATAAAGCAAAGACCTCTGAGGAAAGGAACCTAGAAAATTTTACTTTGAAGAACATTCCTTGGGAGACAAACTAAAGCGTTGGTGAGCAACAATGCATGCTCGTAAGAACAGAGCTTGTGCCTCCAACCTTCTTTTTTCTTGGTTACCCATGAAAAAAAGAAAAGATTAAATTTAATGGCAGATTTAAGGAAGAACAGACAAAGTGTAGAGGAAAAGAATCGCCGAACCCAACATACTAAGAACTGGAACCTTTGCCAGCTCTCATACTAGAGTTATCCTGTGGGGAAAAAAACATTATACGCATGTATCCCATGAATTCATTTGGAAACAGGGCTACAAACTGTTTCCTTCACTGAAGTACATGAGAAAACCTGAGAGGATGAGTCTTCTATAAATGGCATAGGAACATTTCAGAAGCTTATGCTCCATGGCACCCAAAACACCCACGGCACCCGCAACAGAGCTTTGGCTGCCCACCATGCCATTATTTATAAAAGCAGCAACTAACACACCTGACTGATGGTATGCAAAATGAAACTTCATATTATTTTTTTCCAGGCAGTATCTTGCTAATGGTTACTGAGCCTTTCACTTCTTCAAGGCCAAGCCAACGAGATGTGGAAGTATCTACCAGAATCATTAAAATATTTAGCTTGCTATGATAAAAATGAGTAAGACCTAAGTTTACAAACTGAACTCAGACATGAACTCAGGGTTCTCTGGTGCATCTGTGTGCCAGAGACATCCTGGGAGGGTGCAAAGGAGACAAGCAGCTCTGACACAGTACTGGGAGGTTTTACAGGTGCAGCACGCAGGCTGCATCAGCATGCTGTGTCCCTATACCCAGGGAGGCAAACAGCAACAATTTTCACACCTATTCCACTGATGCAGCCTTTGGTCTTCTCCAACACGGCTGCAGGAGGCAGAGAGACTCCTTGGATTCCCTTTGCGATGCTCATACCCCTCCTGGGACCTGGGCTGCTGGGGTCAGCAGAGGCTACTGCAGACAAGCGCCACAGGTCAGGAGCCCTGGCAGGATGGTGCAGTCCGGTCTGCTGCCCTGGTAGCCAGGGTGGACTCTGACATGCTGCCTGTCTGCTCGCTGCTCTGTATCCCCTCCAAGGTGCTCACAGGGAATGGCTACAGCTTAGCTCTTTATTTTCTGCAAAAGATGCTACTGCCTTTTCTTAGTCAAAACAAACCAAACCAAAAGAGTTCAGAACGCAACCCGGTACAAACATAATGTGAATAAATTATCTAGGAAAAAGATTTCTCTGATTTCTCATCTGCAAAGCTTTATCTATCAATTGCCTGTTTTATGTAAAACTGTCGCCAGCTTCTTATTCTCCTGCCATACAGGAGAAATTTCTTTTTAAACACCCTGCTTGGATGACTGACATCTCATCATTACCATAAACAGGAACAGTTACACTTTTAAATTGCCAAAGGGATTTTTTTCACCAAATACAAAAGGCACCTGTGAGCTGACAGGCAGCAGATGGATGGATACACAGTCTATGGAACTGCCCAGCAGCGCTTGGAACAGCTTTCAGGGGTCGCTTTCTTCACTCGCTTCTGCTTAACTCGTTTTTACATTGCATGGCTGAGCCTGTTGTTTGCCCTGTGGATACTGTACTTCCGTGGCTCATGCTGAAACAACTTTTCTCCTTTAACTTCTTTTAACTCCTATCATATTCCACATTCTACCATGCGTTGCTGGCAGCTCTCACCATGTTATCACAATGTGCCTGTATTGCTTGTTCTTTTCAAGCTTCCAGCTCCAGCAGTCATCATATTTCCATGAAAAGGCCGTTTTCAAGACCCACTTGAACAAGAGAGCAAATAAAGACCGTGGTCATTTAATAAAAACAGTTTAAAATAACCTTGTAACTTTCAGGGGCTGAGATGCATTTTTTGGAACATTTTGATTCAGCCAGAGTTGGAAGTGCAACACGCCATGCTACTAAACAGCAGGAA